ACCCCAACTGTCCTGAAAGCTGCGTCAACGTTGCCTGCTTCATAAAAAAGTGAAGTAACTTTCAACTACGCCTACATAACTGATTAGGCAATGAATCACAGCAGAGAGGCGATTAAGTTGGTGTCTAATGGAGCTGTAAAATGTTTTACGACACTCCTCCCCTGCATTCTAGTCAATGTCAGGGTGTAAGGTGGAAGAACATTAGTAAAGGTGACGACTGATGAACAAATACTTTGGATAGCTTTTAGTCTACCTGACTACTCAATATTGCGTGACAATAAATCTTAGTCGAAAAAAAATCACCTTTTTTTTACGTAAGTACTCTAACAATTGTAACATTAATGTTCATTAGAAGTGTTTAGAAGGACATTTATTCGCCACAAATAGAGCTATAACTTACCTTTCCGGGTTGGAAAGGCTTGACAGAGCCTTTTCGCGCTACCAGTTGTCTCACCTCCCTCCGCCCGTCTGCATCAATCAAACTGAGATAGACATGTCCTGATGTATTGGCGAAATTTGACATCTCACCGGTTGTCACTGCAATCTCATAGGTATTTTTCTCCTCCCTAGATGACAACTTGCGTTTTCCTATTGCTGCATTCAGCGTCACTCCTCCAGTGGCCGTGTCTGAGAGCCAACGATTGCATGTAAAAATGTACACTTCCTCCTACACAAGGAGGGTAAAAAGAATTTTCACAATTTACTCCTTTGCAGACAATAGCTTATGTGCTGAATGAGACTGTGCAAAGTGTACAACACGTCACAGGCTATGGAAGAATGTGTGAGTTTAGGTGTGGTAGGATATGAAGTCATTCAGATTGGTGACTTGACAGGTAGTAACCTTGGTCAGTTTTTTGTCTTATGCCACAATAACTTTGCTTTACATCTAAGCCTGGTGAAAGAAGACTCCAACACTTTCACTTAGTTCACCTTAGCACCTGAAGGGGGAGAGGAGGAGGTGAGTTAGAGGGTATGGGACGCCGTCTTATCTCCTGCAGATGACAATGAAATCGTCTGGAAGATAGCGTTACTTTGACCTTTTTATTGGGGGGAGGGGTGGGAAATTCGTATTCGTCAAACTGATAGCTTTAAGATTTTTGGACTTTTCTAGTCCTGCAAACAAACAATAGGTGAATTATATATTTGGAAGCAGAAAAGAGAGTTCACTCCTTCTCAAACCTCCCACAACTACTCCGAGGGAGTAGTTTTAGATCGACAAGCCTTAAAGATACATTACTAACGTCAAGATCTGGTAGATCTCTGTCCTTACAGGAGAGAGACGACCATTCAACGTGAAGCCCGTGCTGGAAGAACGCTAGGATCCTTCCCTAGAATAATACGGAACCCTCGTCTTAGCCCCTTACCCCTTGTGCTCTGTAAAAGATGTTTACTAAAGCCCTCAAAGCAAGCCACCGCATGGGAAGACGGAAGTTAAGAAGCCTGAAAGTACGATGGAAGGCACTGCAGACTGCGGTTATCATGACCATGCTGAGTGTCTGTAGCTCCTACAAACCAAGGTGGTGACAAATAAGACTCACATCTGACAACTTGCTTCCCATTGGTCGAACTTCCACACGATCCAAATGCCACCTTGCATTGATGCCTTCCTTGTTGTGCCTTATGTGAAGACTTTGTAGAGGTTCACCAACATCTTCGAGGTCCACATAGAGAATTTCACAGCAGCCCTGCTTGAAGGCGCCTTTCAATTGAACTTCACTCGTCTTTTGTCCCTTCAAGCCTGTCAGTACGACGTAAACACTCGCCTTTGTACCAGCATTTGGGATGTTGCTTGTGTAGATCTTGAACTCATAAAATATGGCTACAAAATGAAGTTAACAACAAGCACGATTAAGGTCTAAACTTTTTTCGCTCTGGTAAAGCCCTATCAAGATACCCCTGCAATTCTTAAAATTCGTCGCTTTAACCTTGACATCATATTAACCTTTCAAACCTCCTAATTGCTGTTTTGTGATAGGAGTTGGCGTGATGACTTTAAGCCTAATAATACTCACTTATAGCTACAAAACATTGCAATTTAATTCATTTTCTCAACAAAGTAGCCAATAGTTAGCATTACTTGATTGAGGTGGAATAGTAGAGGGCGCCAATTGAATTGGTAGGTCCACGTAGGCCTCGTCATTTTCACTCACTTTGTCTATCCATTGGTTACAAGGGAATAGGGAAATCTCGCCTGTTTCAGTTGACTCCACCTCCACTCTTTCAACGTACCAAGTTGGCGATGAATCTGTGTTGTCGTGTCCCAGCCTGAAAGAATCAATTAGTCACTGTATCCAGTGGCTGATCCTCTCAAAATGTACAGATCTTGGTATTGAAAGGCACCATTTTAAGTGGGAAAAGGGAGCAAGAGAACAAGAGTAAATGGCTACTACTTGTCTAGAGTATGGAAAACGAAGCAAAAGGAGTTCGCATGTCAATCGCATGACATATTGTCAGGCGAGTGAGAATAAAAATGCTAACCGAATACGCTTTAGTTCTCCAATGTCCACAATTTGGATGACAAAAACATCCGTGTTTCCAGATTTAAATGTCCTCCTTGCAACTTTAGCACTCCTCTGCGTATCAGTTAGTAAAATTTTTCTTGTTTCACCATTTGTACCCCACATTTTCAAGTAGACATTGTGTAATGCACTTTCTCTCGAAGGTCTTCCAGTTGTTATCGAAATTCTGTAAGTCACAGTCGCTAAAAGCATTAAAAAAAGGCAGCAGCTAAGTGTTACCAACTTCCTTTTACACACATCAGTCAAAAAAAATTTTACAAAAAAAAGAGTCCCTTCAACTTTAAGCGCCAATAGAGTTACTTAAATCGTGGTTAAATATAAAAAAACATTAAAATATAGTACTGAGTCTCTTGTGAGCTTCGGTGATGCTGAACGCACCTCCTCCATGTCCATCTTCCACTTTATCGAGAATAGAAGCAGTAGAAGTAGCTAAAAGGTAAATTAAAAGTGAGAAACTTTCCTTCACCGCTTTTCGCGTCCAGTGTGGCTGATTGTAACGTGGTGATGAATAACAGTGGGAGACTATAAAACTGAGAGTCATCACTTCTGCCGTTAGCACTTCTACCCATGAAGTGGGGGGATAGTGAGGCAAAAGCAATACTAATGTCATAAGGAAAAGGATGTAATAGAAAATAAAACCATTTATAATTGTACATGGATTTCATTTTTATGGAGAAAAAGAGGTGTGGACACGACATCCTCCATTACCTAAACTCTAGTCAAGCAAATTTTCCAACTTTAACACAAGATGACTTCTCTCATCATTTCCCATCTATTCACGGATCAAAAAGAGATAAAAGTGAGAAGATAGGCACAACTTATTACTTATTACTTCTATTATAAGTGGTCATCCACTTTGGCCGTACAAGTGTTGCCCATTGTGGTGTGGAGCAGTGCCCCGTCACCAAAACCTGACCAACCTGAATGCACGACATCGTGATTAACAAAATGTTTTACTCAAGACCTGTCGTCTCTGCAAGTAGCGCTGGAGATAGTAGAAGGCGGAAGGGAGGAGAGGAAATCAGCAAATTGGTCTGCTCCCTCCAATGTACCAGAAATGTCCATAAAGATCGCTTGACACTTGACTGCATTCTCCACTATTATGAGCCTTAAACATTTCTAGCAGTCAATTACGCCTGTTTGAACGAAGAGTGGGGCAAACAAATCTTCATCCAAATCAACATTTAAAGATAAGTGGATGCAATGTCACATCGGTGTGGGTGGTTTTAGCTCCCCAAATTGAGAGTCAGAAAGTGTGATAATTCAGCCTACCTACCATTTGAGTGTGGTTAAGTAAAATCCAAAGCTCTAGCAAAATATGTTCATAAATGTGTAGAAGTGATTTTCAAAGTCCGATTTCTTGTGAATGCAACTGCCTGTCAGCGACTGTCCCTCCACGATTACCCCAGTGGACAGAGTTGTTGGTAAAGTGGGGATCCCCTCCAGGATTCCTCACCTCTCCTCTCCGTCTCCAAGGCCACCTCCAAAGCACACCACCCTTCTAAGTCAAGGGAATTGAAGACCTCGCACTGATGCAACATCCTCACATCACAATTTTGGGCTTGACAGTGTCAACTATTGCGCCGTTATTTTCGTAATAAAAAAAAAAAACTCTCCATGTGATGACGATCACAATGCCACATACACACACACACACACATAAAACAAAACAGACATAAGATAAAGATGAGTCGAAGGTGAAGGTGACTGGACGGCTTGCCGCCAGCGAAACTGTATGTATGAGTAAAAAAAAAAAGTAGAGCAAATTTCACAGCCTCATGTCTCTCAAATGAGTGAATCATCCCAATGCATAAAATATTTCTAAAATCCCCTTTTTTTTCTTCTGTACAGTCTCCGAAAATTCCCACAGAAAAGCCTCTTTTGGAGTGAAGATGGAGGAAAGATGGACTGCCATTGTCCAGTGAGGTGTTTTATTGTATCGCACGTTATTTTGTCAGAGTCCATTCTTCCCAGTCAAATACAAAAAAAAAACTTTCCGCTTGGCAAATTTTAAGGAAAGTATCGGCTGTACTTCGGTTCTTTTTTTCTTCTAAAAGTTTATGAATACGTTTGAGTCTAGTGAGTGGAGAAAGAGTGTTAACCTCTTTTGCAGATGTCAGTTGTACTAGTGAAGGCAAATACAAACGTGCCTGTAGAAATCGCAGGTTGGATTTTCCTCTGCGCAGATGAGCCAATTTCGGTGGTAGCTTAACAAAAAGAAAAAAAATAAAACCGGATTTAAAAGCACTGCCAGGAGTCTATGAAAGTATTTTTAAAAAAAAAGTGTTAAAAATTCGCAATGTCAATATTTGTACCCAGTTTCGTGAGGCTCCCATCCTCGGATCGTTTGAATGGTGGACTTTGTTGAGTCATTTGAGCAGTTCCGTCGGCATAGGCGCTGACGGGAATGTCCTCGGGCCTGACATTGCGCTGTCTCAGTGGAGCGGCAGTGAACTCGCG